CGAAAATCGGCCGAAATGAGCAGTTCGTGGACATGAAGAATAGAGATAAGGAGACCGAACTGACACGGAAAAATGTTCGAGAAACACGACCAAATTGGTCGCTGGACTCTAATTTACTAATGCTCCGCTAGATGGCGCCTCCGTTTGACGGGACCCACACGTACACGCACCGGCGGCTATGTAAGTGTGTGGAAGCAGGCGAGACCGGCGACAGCGCACACTTGCCTAGTCGGCCGATGCGTGTATGTACATGGTGGAATTATTGTTAGTTATATTAGTTCTGTTTTTGAGTTTTTATAAGAAAAATGACAAAAGTGTGTGCATATCCTGATTGCAAATCAGGAACTAGATGCGAAAGGGAAAAAAATAAATCGCTTAATATACCTAGCAAAAGCTTGTTTAAATTTCCAAACAAGGTTCGTATTCATTTTAATATTAAAATTTAATATTAAAATATATCTGCATTGGGTTCTTTGGGGAGAAAGATCACTACAGAATACTTTTCCAATTTTTATTAGAGTCGTCCTCTTCGAAAGAAATGGGAAGAAGTTATCGGTCGTGCAGCCAAAGATTCTGCTTTCCTTTGTGAACTCCATTTTCGTGAGGAGGACATCATAAGAAATCATGAAACTATTTTACCAGGTGGAATAAAACACGTCATAAGTCGTGACAAAATTTGTTTAAAAACCAATGCGATTCCATTTGCACACACTCCTATTGTAAGTATGAGTGTTCGAGACAGCGCCCTCGATCTGGCGCATACGGGGGAATCGCCTTATACCGCTACACTCATTAAATGTTCTCTGTAAAATTATTCTCGCCGGTGGCCCGAGAACAACGCTCTTTGTCTCCGATTCCTTTGAGAAACTTCTATTGTTGATTTCTCGAAGGCCAGGTCGACGCGAGTCCGTGTTTTCCCCGGGCCATCAACAATTGCTTGCGTTTTTGGGCCAAGCCGTTACACGCGCGTCTCGGCAATCCAGGCATGCGCAGCCTGACGCGTCACGCGTGATTTTTGTATTTTGTATTTTGTGTCGAATAAATGTGATTTTTGTATTTTGTATTTTGTGTCGAATAAATGTGATTTTTGTATTTTGTATTTTGTGTCGAATAAATGTGATTTTTGTATTTTGTGTCGAATAAATGTGCAGTATGACCGTCAGAAAGATCTCGCGTCTTTATCCGGACTGTGTTCCTCTCCTGTCCTCGTCGCGCTAGATTCGAACTCTGATGCGCTCTCGAACAATGAGTATATAGAAAAATTTCAACCACGAAAAAACAAATTTCCTCTCAATTTTCGTCTAGATACCAATTTATTCTTCTCCACCAACATCAAACGTCGTAGTTGATGAAATCACTTTTAATGATACTGCAGAATTTCACTCTACCAATATTTTCAATATTCATCAACACTCACCAACACGTGAAATTTTTAAAGAAAGAGACGTCAATTCCTTATACAATGATAGACGATCATATATGTCAAGCAGCGAAAAAAGAAAACGCCGAGCTGTTTTTGTTGATGAAAATGAAATCACCAATAATATTAGTCCAGTAAATCTGGGGACTAGTAGGATCTCACAAGAGAATAAAACGTCTAACATTATTACTATAAAACAAATTTATAAACAATTGAAAGCGACAACTTTACCGAACGGCTGGAGTACGGTTCTTTTGAACAATGGTTTAATGGTTGGATACTGGGGCTCTAGTGTTAGTCCACCGAAGAAACAATTTTATATCCACAAAGATGGATCCGTTGAGGTAAGTTTGTGATTACTGCAGGAAGAACTGATATTAAATTTCCTAATTCTTTTCATTTATTGTCAGGTCTTCATAAATGGATGTTCTACATCTGTACCCGGGTTGAAGCCTGGTACGATGGTCAGTAACATATTAAAGAACATAGAACTCCTTCAAAACCTACTTTTATGCGATGGCACTGGATTGAAAGACAGGTAATTTTATGAAAAACTCTGTTTGCCTTGTGGGTACGCATTAAAATATTATTGTTACCCTTATGAAAAAATACACTCAATCATACATTGACGGTCCGAAATAACCATCAAATTGAGTGTAAACCTTCATAATGTTTCATGAAGGTTTACACTCAATTTGATGGTTATTTCGGACCGTCAACGTGTGATTGAGTGTATTTTTTCATAAGGGTATTGTATCGTTATAACGGTTGTGTTATAGATATTCCAATTTGTGCACCAGATATGTTCAACCTAAACTAACTTATGTCAAATATGGTACAGTTCGATGTATTTTTTGCAAAAAATTACGAAAGGAAATTGCTGTCAAGAAACGAAAAGCATTGAAGCGAGCACACAAACAAAAAACTCGAAATAAAGTCAAGCAAAAAGTGATAAAAAATGAAAAAGTTAAAAATGAGAGACTAAAGAAGCAGGTACAATATTTTTTTCACTTATACGTGGATCTCATTTGTATCATCTTATGGATGATTTCGCGCCGTTGCAGTTAACGAAGCTCACCACTGAAATGGCTAAGAAAAGAAAGATGTGTGCCAGAGTAAAACAAGCAATAATTGATGAAGAAATGTCAAAATTACCTCCAATCCAACGAGAAGCCTTCAAGACATGCATTGATGCCGCAAAAGTTCCTACTCAAGGTCGAAGATACACACAACAGTGGATCTATGAGTGTCTATTGATGAGAATCAAAAGTAAAAAGTTATATGAGCACTTGAGGTCACATAAAATTCTATCATTGCCTCACGAAAGTACCCTAAATAAGTACTTGAAACGTATGGGGAGTGCCTACGGACTTAATCCCGTAACATTCCACTTATTGAAAAAACAATCAGCGCAAAAGGAACCTGCAGAAAGAAGAGGTTAAACGATATCACTGTAAATAATTAATTAAAAAATTTTTTTCTCCTCAATTCATCCAAATGTTTTGAATTATACAGGAGCTCTTTTAATTGACGAAATGAAATTGGCGGAGACCTTACGCTTTGATAGGGATTCATGTCAATTTCACGGCTTCGTTAATTTAGGTGATCATACCCCACATGATCAGAAACATGAATTGGGGGATCACGCCCTGGTTTTCATGTTTCAACCTTTTCGAGGGAAGTGGGTACAAGCACTTGCTTGTTTCTTGAGTAAAGGTTGTGCCAAGAGTTCTGTGCTACACTGCCTTATTTTGGAGTGTTTGATGCTCATTGAACAAAGCGGTTTTCAGTGTGATGTTATTACCACTGACGGTGCAAGTTGGAATCGAAGCACTTGGAAGAGGTTTGGGATAGAGGGAGAAAATGTATCTTGCGAACATCCATACGACGCAACACGAAAGTTGTGGTTTTGTTCCGACTTCCCCCATTTAATAAAAAACTTACGGAATTCCATAATAAAGAGTCCGGAAACATGGGTAAACATTTTTTGACACTTTAATCAAGTCCAGAGCTCTGACCCTTTTCTAAAAATATAGTGTTCATTGATACATTTTTTCCATAGACACCTGATGGGGTTATAAAAATGAGCCACTGGCAGGCAATATTAGATTGTGAAGTTAATCCTTATGGTCTAAAAGTAGCATATAAATTGACTGCAAATCATCTAAAGCCTTTGTATTATCAAAAAATGAATGTTCCTCTAGCGTTCGAAGTAAGTAATTGTATTTCCAATGACATGAGCACTAAGTTACATTCATGTTCTCTTTTTTTTCAGCTATTCTCTGATCGTGTAGCTGCTGCTATGCAAATATATCGAAAAATTAACTCTAATCTCAAAGATGCTGAGCCGACAATAAAATTTATCAAACGAATAGATAAATTGATAAAAGTTATGATGTCTCGGAAGCCATCGGAAGCATTGAAACCTAATACTCAAAATCATCAAGTAATCCAAAACTTCCTGAATTATTTAAAAGAATGGGAGAAAGAAACAAAGAACCATAATTATAACTTCCTGTCAGATAGTACCAGTCATGGTTTAAAAATCACATTGAGTGCAACACTAGAGCTTCTTCAGTTCTTGACGTATGAAAATAATTATGAATATTTAATGACAGCTAGATTGAATCAAGACGCATTAGAACGATTCTTTGGCTTAGCAAGAGGAGTGTGTGGTTCCAATGACCATCCTGATTCAATATTGTTTGGCCAAATGTTCAGATTGATGAGCTCTTATTCTCTGATTAAACCGAATAAGGGAAGTAACGTAGCTGGAGGCGAAATGCTGAATTCCTTAATAAATTTCAAAGATATATCTCAAGACCATAGCGGACGTCAGGAATTCCAAAAAGTTATGGATAGTATCATTGAAATGGGAAAATCTCCGGGAAGTTATATTTATAATCAAATGACAAGTAACGAAAAACTGGAGCAAAGTGAGACCGAAAAAGTTCAACGTTCTCTAATGGAGTACATGTCTGGATATATTGTGAGAAAATCGCACAGATGGACGAAATGTACTGATTGCATTCAAAGCATTCAATCAACAAATCCAGATCATGCAAATCACGAACTAATTTCTTTGTTGTCGCGTGGACATTTAATCAATCCCTCTGATAGGTTAATTGAATTGATAGAAGAAGTGGAGAAAACTGTGTTAAAAACAGTAGATTCGGTAGGTATCAATTGCGATACAATTTTTCAGATAAGTTATTCATTGCAAGAGTTGTCGCTTCCTCTTATTGGATGCTCTGAACATATGAAATCCTTGACGAAGTCCATAGCTAGTTTTTACGTAATTATCCGTGCTGAGTTTTTAGCGAAACGTTTTAAGAAACTAAAATCTGCTAGCAAATTGAAAACTCAAGAAAACCGAAAAAAGGCGAAACTTTGACGACTGTTTGCATTAGATGACTTTTTATATTAGATATTTAACAAGATGTGATGAGTTTGAAATGCACTAATACAGTGCAACGACGTTTATCTATACAATGGTATTTTATTGTTTTTAATTCCGACATTATGAAAATTTAATACATCTAAAACATTTATTGATAATAAATTATATGAAAGCAAATAATTTAGTTACGGATGTTTATTTAAATCCCCTTATAATTTTTTTTACAATTTTAGTCCGTCTAACAAATGTATTATCCCTGATATATCTTCGAGCGCTTTAATTCTATCAAATGTTATCCAGGGTATGAACTTATTATTATAGAATACATTAATTTCTAAACTGTTCAATATGACAATTTTTACACCTTCCTGATAATTATCTAACATTTCCACGAACGAAACGCACTTATCAAATCTAATGTCTGCCCAGTTACATGGTTTTTCTATGTCTTTTATACTATCATATAAGTCGGTGAAAGTGAATTTTTTAAGAATGAAATCGTCCTCTGAGTATTTACAATTATTATCCATGGCTCTTAATCGTCGAGTATAAATAATCGATGGATTATCGAATAAATAAATTATAAAATGTATGTACAATGAGTGGTAGAGACCATGGGAACATATTATCTACAATTATAACATTTACAATTGTGGTGTTATTATTTACAATTCAAATATACATTATGTACAATTTTCATTCAGAGATTCTTAAATATGGGCAATTCAATCAATTATATTTTATTTTAATTTCTCGTACGATTCGTCTATCAGCCGACGGAAAAGAAAAAAGTCTGTCTCAATTCCTCACTTAATATGTTACACTCAAAAACTGTATCATTAGCAATACTAACGAATTATGTATTGAGATTGTCATTTAGGAGTCTTTCAGTTTTGTTGGAGATGAAAATCCTTTCCGGAACAGCTGTACATCTCCATTTGAATACTGAGAAAAAAACATTTATCATAATTTGAATAAGTTTCAAATAAAATTTGTGCGTAATGTAATGTAACAGAGAACAGAATAGCAGTTGATACTTCAACAAAGTTTAAATAAAAATAATAATGTACAAACATATGCTAATACTAACCTCAAACTGGCTTTCTTTACTTCATTTGTATATCGACCTCTTTGTTCTGTTAAAAATTTTCCATACAGTTTAAAATTTTTGGTCTTCGCACTTTCATATCACATTCAGTATTATAAGAAATATTACTAATAATCGATGGAAAAACAATAACAAATGTGGCCGAATTTATTTTGTACACAATACATGCACGATTTTAACTCTCCACCCTGCAATCTCTCCTCCTCCTCAACTCTAAGCCAATAGCCATCGGGTACCTTCAGATTGCAGTGCCATCTATTGGTACCTAAAGATACAACCATCGGGGATCGGTTTTGGTCGCGTGTCCCGAACATACAGTTCGGTCTCCTTATCTCTATTCTTCATGTTCGTGGACAGCTCTGGTGTAACCCATGGTGGAAGTATACAAGGTGAACCATTGCGCATGAAGAGAGGGGGTAGCCTTCCTTCCGGCCAATAAGCGGCGTGCTTTTTTGTGTGGCGGCAGTTTAAACGGTCAAACAAATCATAACCCAACCTAATCTATAAGCAAAAAAGCACGGCTCTTATTGGATGGATCGTCCCCACTACTTTTAGGCTACTGCGCATCCACGGGAATGGTTCACCTTGTATACTTCCACCATGGTGTAACCTTTCGCGGTGCGAAAACAGCACGCTGCGAAAGCACCACGCCGGAAAACCAACACGCCGCTAAAGCAGCACGCTACGAAAGCAACACGCCGCGAAAGCAGCACGCCCGCAAACCAACACGCACCTTCTTTCGTTGCACAAATATTTTCTTTGCTTACAGAGATTCTCTAAATTCTAAAAGCCTCTCGTAAGCAATTGCGCAATTTAAAAATTCCAAATGGTATGAAATGGTAACGATAACACTTTTACTTTAACCCTGGCTGAGGTTATTTTTTCGCAATAAATTTTCTGTATTGTTAAAAAATGCCAGGTATGGTCAAGAAAGCACCCACACAGCAAAACAAATTTCAGAAAGCTTTCCGAAAGATAACTTGGAAATTTATATTGAAATGTAAAATTGAAATCATTCAGAAATATCTTTGAAACGTTTCATCAAAATCACATGTCATTGAAAGCTTTCCAAAAGATACCTTGGAAATTAATATTGAAATGTAACATTGAAATCATTCAGAAGTATTTCTGAAACGTTTTATCGAAATCATTTATGATCCTTCTCACTGAAATATTTCAGAAATATTACAAAACATTTCAGAGAAATATTTCGTACGTAATCTCTAAAACATATGTTATTGAAAGCTATCCAACATATAACTTGGAAATTAATAGTGAAATGTAAGATAGAAATAATTCAGAAATATTTCTGAAACGTTTCATCGAAATCATTTATAATCCTTCTCACTGCGACCAAGTCCCGCAGGCCGTCCAGGATAGTATCGAGATATGTCTGGGACATGATCAGGAGCGTGGTGCAGAACTTAAGGGACGACGATATCTACGTGACGACGGAGCCGGAGCAGATACTCAACTCCAGGGCATTAATGTTCCTCAAGGTGTACAACGGCTGGCCTCAGCCCATCGGGTTTAGACTGAGATGGTCGATATACGGCTTTTTCTGGCAGCATCCGCTCAAGACAACGATCACGCTCGGCGCGTACACCGTCGGCCTGATGCGCAACGCCTATCAGTCCAACTCGCTCGTGCTGCAGCAACAGTTGAACGGAGACACCAGCGAGAGAGATATCTTAGGATTAGTCATAGGGGACTTGAATCACTACGGCGGCTGGTACTGCAACCTGTGCCAGGCGCCCGCGAACATAATTATCAGTCTTCGCAATAGAGTTGAGTCTAAGGAGATTTATATCGAGAAGACTATCGACGTGCCGTTCGTCGAGGACCTAATAAGTAGCGGAGATCAATTGTCTGAAATACTTTTGGGCACCCCACATCGGCATACCAATATCAGATTCTATAAAGAGTTTGAAACTTAATTCCACGTTCTTTCATACCCTCCCGCGCCTCTGTGCTGTTCTACGAGTTTCAGGCAAATCTCACCGATTCTTCAAACAGCTCTCCGCCCGAGGCGTATTCCAGAAATATATATTCCATGTTGGGTCGCTGCGTTGCCCGAAATATTGTACAATATTAGGATTCCACAGTATGCAATGAATAGTGGTTTCCTTGCGGACCGTCTGCCTCGCGTCCGGATGTTTCTCTATGTCAACCATTTTCATAGCAACGGCTTCGCCTGTAGATTTATTCACAACTAGTTTAACCCTGCGCAAACATTAAATTACAATTGTAATCGGAAAATGTGCACTCAAGGATTTCCCACAACACAAATTCCCCGAATGGTAAGAGAAAATTTATCTGTGAAAATTGTGGCGCGAAACTAATCGGACCTCTCGTGCTGGGAACGTACGTGTCCCGAACAATGGGAACAATGGGGTCTCGCGAGTCACGGCCCAATATCCGCCGAATATCTGCCGAGCGCGAACGCGGACGCGCCGCCCGTTAAACGGGGGGGGGGGGGAGAAGTGAGAGAAAGACGTACTCGCCGTAGGCACCCTCGCCCAGGGTGTGCCCCAGGAACCAGCCGTCCACGAACTCCGTCATCATTCCGGCATGCCTCCATTCGGACGCGACGATGGAATATTCTCGACGCCTTATCACGCGCTCTGGAAACAGTATCGCGCGTTTCCGTGCGTGTTAAAACGACGGCGTGCCGTTGCGGGCGACGAGGAGGGACCGCGATCCCCCGGCGCCCGGCGCCCGGCGCCCGGTCGCCGTCTCGCCGAACGGGATATATATACTTACGCGCGGTGCCGATCCGGTCGACGGAATTATTCAAGCACGTGGTTGCGGCGGGTTACATGGAGGAGCTCGTCGCGCCACACTCCTCGCTCCCTCTCTCGACTTCTCGCGCTGTCTCTCTCTCGCTCTTTCGACGAAAGTCGGCACGCGGCGCGAAAAGGGTATCGTTGGCGCCGCGGGCTTGACGCGAGGGCCACAGCGACGATAATCCGCGAGACGACACGCGGTACGTTCAACGGTGGACCGAACGCACGGGGCCGCCGTCCGACCAT